GAGAGAGAGAGAGAGAGAGAGTGAGAGAGAGAGAGAGAGGAGAGAGGAGAGAGAGAGAGTGAGAGAGAGAGAGAGAGAGAGAGAGAGAGAGGAGAGAGAGAGAGAGAGAGAGAGAGAGAGAGAGAGAGAGAGAGAGAGAGAGAGAGAGAGAGAGAGAGAGAGAGAGAGAGAGGAGAGAGAGAGAGAGAGAGAGAGAGAGAGAGAACAAAGAGTCCTTGTTTCTGCTCGTGTTCAGTTAGGTGTCAGACCCCGGCGCAATGCGTAGGTATACACGGGTCTCGGTACCTTCGGGAATTTTATTAAATCATCAAACACGTCGGTACCTCTTGGAATAGGTACTGGGTACAAACATCCATAGCCTGTTAGTCATATACGAGTAGCAAGGCCTGTATGCGAACAGGTGTATTTCATTTACTGTATTTTGATTCTGCTGAGAGATCAATCGGTGCGCACACCGCCGTTAAGGCATGCAGGACCTGCCGTTTCGTGAGACTTCATGACGTTAGCCTCATGTGGAACGGTCGACTACAGCCTCCTTAGTTCTCAATCAACGCATCCGTACATTACGAAAAGTGAATGCTCAGATCACAACAGACACGTGCCTATACTATGGCGAGCGTCAACCCGGACGCAGATGTGTCTCACCCGTCCGTTGCCGCTGAGGCGAACACTTCTACCCACATACACCCGTCATCGGCACTGCACAGCTGGCGGCTCTGGCCGGCGCCCGACGGGACTCCCTTCGAGCCACGCTGCGGCGGCGCACCCTAAACGAACCGCATGACGCCGTCGATCCAGTCCACGTACTCCTGCACCTTGGTGTAGACGCCCGGCTTGTTGATGATGCCGCAGCCGACGCCGTACGAGACGATGCCGACGGCCGTCCAGCGGCCATTCTTGTCGGCGCAGGCCAGCGGGCCGCCCGAATCGCCCTGGCAGCTGTCGGTGCCGCCGGACAGAGCGCCGGCGCACACCATCTTGCCGGGCCGGAAGCGCTGGCCGTGCACCTCGCGCGTGCTGCAGAACGGGTCGGAGACGATCGGCACGCTGGCGCCGCGCAGCTGCAGCTCGGCCTCGCTGGGCGAGTCGAACTCTCGCCGGCCCCAGCCGGAGATCTGGCACATCTGGCCGGCGTGGCCGGCGCCGCCGCCGCGCGGCAGGCACAGCGGCTGCACGTAGGCGCTGAACCGGATGCCTGGGCCGCGGATACGCACCACGGCGATGTCGTCCGTGTAGGAGCCGTGCGGCCCGGCCAGGTACTGCGGGTGCGTTACCGCGTTGGCCACGTCGAACGCCTGCCGCTCGGGCTCGTCGGGCCGGCTGCGGTCGCTGACGCCGACCAGGGCGCGCAGCCGCGGCCCGCCGGTGGCGCAGTGAGCCGCCGTCAGCAGGTGGTGTGCGCTGATGATGACGGCGCCGCACTGGTGCTCGAACTGGCCGCTGCTCGAGTTGAACGCCAGCAGCTGCGCCTGCCACGGGTACTTGCCGTAGTTGGCCGGGCTGCCGCCGACCACCCGCAGAGTCTGCATCATGCTGCGCGTCTGCATGGCGTCGTCGACGGGCCGCCGGCCGCAGGTGGGCGTCTCGCCGAGCGGCGCGCCGAACCCGTCGGCGGCCGGCGCCGGTGAGCCACTGCTCAGCGCCGGCTGCACGGCCACGCGCTGCTCGGGCGGCGGTGGCGGCCGAGGGGTCGTCGTCGTGGTCCGCGGCCGAGGGGTGGTCGTGGTCGGCGGCGGCGGCGGCGCGGCGGAGGAGCTCTCGATGGTGCGCGGAGGCGCGTCAAATGGCAGCGCGGTCTTCTCCACGGGCGTGGCGGCCGGAGGCGTGGGTGCGACGTTCTTGGCCCCCTTGGTCGAGTGTCGCCGGCTGGTCCTGGTCGTGCGGATCCGTGTGGCCAGGTTGGAGTCGGCCAGCGCCGGGTTCGTGAAGCTGATGGACGCTCCGGTGACGTACATGGGCACCACGGAGCCGCGCACCTCCTGACGCGACGTGTACATGTAGCCGACTACGGTGGTGCGGTACTTGCCCTGCACCAGCTTGCCGCCGGTGCGCTGCAGAACGTTGGGCGGCAGCGCCGGCGTAGTCAGACGGGTGTCGCTGGAGTCGAACGAGTTAATCTCGTTGTTGCCCTGCAGGTCGAACTTTTGGTCGCCGAGCGCATCGTGTCCGGTGACGACGCTGCCGATGCGGTACATGGCGCGCAGGGCCATGCCGCGCTCTGCCTCTGGCAGTGGCTGCAGCTGGTCGAACAGGGCGGCCATGCCGGCCAGCGGTGCCAGCTGCTCGTAGCGCCGGCCGTCCAGCCACTTGCCGTCGCCGCCGCAGTCCAGGCAGCCCAGCTCGCAGTTGGAGCCGTCGAACACGAAGCCGGTGCAGGCGCGGCCGCCGGTCCAGTGCCACAGGCAGGCGGCCGCGCAGCCGGCCCGCGACTTGACGCGCGGCGGCCGCGCCAGCCGCCGACTGGCGGGCCGCGGCTCGTCCGCCTCCTCGAAGGCGCGCGCCAGGCTCTTGCAGAGCTTCTCCTCGCTGCCGCCGACGCACTCGACGCTGCCGTCGCACACGTGCCAGGCCGGGATGCACTGCTCGGCGGAGCACTGGTACGCGTCCGCGCTGGCGCACTTGGCGGCGCTGCCGACGCGCGCCAGCGGCGCCAGGTCCAGCTCCACGGGCTCCGTCACCTCGGGCTCCTCCACCACAAACAGCTGACCGAGCAGCGTCAGCGGCGGCCCCACCTCGGACGCCGACGTCTGCTCCTCCTCCGCCGGCGCCCCGACGAACGCGTCCGGCGGCGCCTGGCGCTCGTACAGCATCGTGCCGACGCTCTCGTACGACTTCCCGGGCCTGGTGTAGAGGGTGCAGGCGCGCGTCGGCTCGCGGTCCGTGTAGGTGAAGGCGCGGCAGTCGGGCTCCATGTGCGAGCACACCATGCCGCAGCCCTGCAGCGAGATGCCCGTGAAGAAGATGCGCCGTCCGGCGCCGCGCAGCAGCGTCCTGTCGTCCCGGCGCGCGTACTGGTGGCCCAGCTCGGGGTGCACGCAGTTGGCCTCGTCCTCCCCGCCGGGACACTGTCGGTTTCCGTCGCACGCCTGCCAGCCGTGGAAGCAGGCGCCCGAGACGCCGTGGCACGGGTAGCACGGCGGCGCGGCCCTCTTCTGACGGGACAGCGACTGCGAGCTCTCCGACGGCGATAACTCCAGCAACGAGCCAGCTGGAACAGACAGAGCAAGGCGTCAGTTGTGGGACACGTCGCAGCTAGCGGGAAGGTGACACAGCAGAGGGGGGGGGGGGCGTCAGCCTTGGGGTGTATCTGAGCTGGGAGATGACACACCAGAGGGTCGAGAGAGGTGCGGCAGATAGGATAGCTAACCATGTCAGCTAAAACGCAGCAATCCAGGCTGGGTAGTGAGCCCGGCACCGGTCTAGAAGCTGAGGTGAAGCGAATGGTACAGCAAGAAACATTCCAATATAGCTGGTTGGCTGAAGGGACTGCGTCACTCTTACAGTTTATGTACATATGTACAGCTCATGTATAACTGTCCGTTTATATCACAGAAGCCTGAACCTGAGTGTCGATGTCGGCAAGATAATAGGTACCTATTCTCTGCTGTGGTTCCATCAGACGAACAATGGTGGTCGACATTGGACAGAGTAATTTTCTAACTCGTTACCAGCAACAAGAGCAGGCGGAACGAACTAATAGTGGAGCTTGTTCGATACATGCGCTGATTTAGTTTTGTTTCATGGTAGGCTTATGTGTTATAATTCGGGTGGTTAGTTATATACCCAAGATAATGACGTGAGCCTTTAAACGTTGGAATGAAGGAGAAGGCAATAAAATATCTAGCGAAACATCCTTATCGCTACCGTGTTATGACCCGCCTGAGTATGTAGCAGACGTTAAGCAGAGTTTAGCGTGACTACTTGGCTCAAGAAAACGTTATATTAATCACGAAAAAGTTTGACAAGACTTCACGATTGAATGGCGTGAAAAAATATCACGACCGAAGCGGACGTGCTGTGTTTTCACGAACAGAGCCCTGAATCATAGGCGTGCTTTCCCATTCACAATGGAAGGAGGAAGGATGCAGTTGTTGCCACTCTCACACAATTCCCATTGTCTGTGTTTGGTTGAGCGGACAGCTAATCGGTATTGGGCGGACTTCAATGGCCAGCCGCTCGGGTCCATCTGAAAGCAAAACCAACTTTTACCCAAACGACGCCGTGGGTCTAAATCGAAAGAGAGACGTATGAGTCCATGACTGTGCTGCTCCATGCTGCTGAAGGAAGACTGTCCTGGCGACTATCCCCCTCCCCACCCGATAGCCGGCCCGGTGCGATAAGACGGTAGGTAGCAGTACCCATTGCTGCCGCTCCCGCCCCAGGTGATCGGAGCGGCCTCCCGGGCACGGCCGTGGAGCCAATCAGGCCGTGTTCGGTCCGAGCCCCCGATCACGGTCCAACGCGCGGCGTCCGGCTCCACCACTCGGCACGACGGCCTTATCTGCAGCCAGTCTTCCGCCAGGCACGTCTAGAATGTTATTTAGGTCGGTTACACAGATCGCGCTCAGATTGCGCACGCAATGGTCGTTATGGCTGTATCAAATTCGCGCAGTTAATTGGACGTATTATCACGTAATGGGCATAGTTTTGGGTAGGGGTAGGGGAAGGAGGGTGAATTGCGCCACCTTAAGGAAAAACGCTAATTGTAAGAAAACCACTGGAGATGCAAGCATGCACTGGTAACCATTTTAAAGAGGAACTCATTCGCTACGATTTAAGAGCCTCCCGATCAATTAAGAATGTTTCGTTTGTTCTGACAGCTGCTTTTCAGAAACATGCAAAAGGGCGCATTTACCAACAACTGCTGTAAATTGCGCCAGGGGGATGGCGCAATTAGAATCCAATTGCGCCCTATCCTTTAACATGACTAAGCAAAGGAGACGGAATGCATACATTCCGGCATTCTATGTCATTGTGGCTTACTTGAGCATGTATTATGTGAATCAAGCTCGATACATAATAAATGTAGATATAAATTGCGATGTTTTTTTGCGCAGGTAAATAACTTTACTTGTGTCCGGTATGCTTGTGCAGTGGAACGAAAACGTTTGATGTAACCGACTAGATATATATGAACGTATGCGCCTAGACGGTTATATTTTCAATCGTTTCTCTCAAAATTAATATTTTTTATTGCTTCTACAACTTTTTTGACATCAGTTTTTACTTTGTATCATCGCTGTCACCTCTCACGCCTGTGTTCATGTTAAAAATGCCGTATTTTGTCAATTACACCGCAAGTTCATAGCCCAAATGGCAGCTACATTATACATAAGTTCGATGAGAGAAATAATTTTTGGACTGACGATGGCGGGTTGCTCCCCTGCCTGACATAAAACTCCTTCTTTATTGCAATCAGTTAATGATGCATTCATACTGTCGCGATACAATAGCTACACCATTATTCTATTTGCGCCCCCCTGGCGCAATTGCCATGGGCGCAATTAAAATTGAGGTACTTTATTATAAAAGCGTGGAAGTTACCATAAAGATGCTGAAGGATGTTTACTGTTTCAGTGAAATATAATGAAAAAAGGATTTTTCTTTCCAAATATCACTCTCAAAATCACACATGTATCGCCTATTTTTATAGCCAACGGTTCAAAATGCTGCAAAAAAAGTTAAGAAAAGGCCGTAATATCTTTGATGGCGTAATGAGTCTTGCTGATTGGCTTCATCGGAGAGCTTGGGCCATAAAAGGAACTATCCAGTGGTGAAAATAATGTTTTCGAAAACAAAATGCTTAACATGCCATTGAATTCGTGGGAATGTTGGTGGGCGCAATTGGTTAGGAGGGCGCAATACACCCACTTTCCCCTACAGAGCAGGGTTTTTATTGCAGGAATGCCTACGTCACTCAGCAACAGGGATATCCCGGAATTCTGGCCATAGTTTTGGTCCACTTTACTCGTGATTCCATGGCTGATGCCACTCATGATTCACGAACATTTGATGGGAAACTGGAAGTCCCGGAGCAGAACTCCTCTGGTGCTGCGGGGGTACGGCCCGAAAGCCCAGTACTGCCGACGCAGACAGCAGCGCTCGGCGCTCGGGTGCGTCACTGTTTGGAAAGTGGAGCGGCCGCGGCTGACGTAGCGCCGGCGTTCTTTTTAGGCGGGCGAGGAAAAATGGCCGGCTGGGTCGGTGTAATCCGGCGGTGAGTGACTGCGGGCCGCGGCTGATCACTTCTGGAGCGGCGCACCGCCGGACAGCTGCGGCGCGACGCGTCTCGAGATCCGCACTGCAGAGCGGTGCAACAGATCCGCTTAGGGTGGCGATCGGCCGCCGACTGGGGCTATGGTCGGAGTCAATACACCCGGCTATATGGTCTCCAACTGCAGCGAGATCATAACTGGCGGCTCAATAGTGGTCTGAGCCGGAGACGCTCCGTCGCCTTTATAGCTCATCTGGTTGAGCAATACTGCGAAGACAAGTGTGACCGACACCTGTGTCGCCTTGATTGTCCATTATTACAAACACAATTGACCTTTCAGCGCTTCACATTTAACGTCCCTTTGCACGTGTTTGCGACATCGTGCCCAAAACGGTACCTTTTATCGTTATTGCGCTTTCGTATATCTTCGCAAAACTCCGAATATCCCACGGCCAGGCAGAAATGTAAAATAAACGTAAGCCTCCTCATGGTGACAAAACAAGAAATCGACAAGCGTCGTGAAATCGTGCACATTTGGCACAACAGGGAAGTGTTGCGGGTGCGACGTTTTCTAAGAAAATCATGTGCATTGTCGGTATTATACCTGCACAGAGGAAAGGGAAACATGTATGCGATCATACGGAGGTGCCTAGGACACAACGATGTAGAACATGATACATGACAAATGATGTCTTCGAAGTGCCTGCGCTATTAATATGTGTCGATTAATGATAACTTTCAGTCTTCCGAGCTTCTCACAAGGCTGGCTGTTGGTGAATGTACATGCTGGACGCTGGCAGCATTAATTTTTACGTTTATGTTGGCTTGATACACAGTGTAGGTAGGTACAGCCAAACGTTCGATACCTGATAACTTAAAAAACTCACAGCCGGTGATATAAAACAATTTACGTGTCACCGCTGGTGAATTTATATGCAAGTTACGCAATGACATGCACGATGTCATTTTCGACCATGCACGAAAGGATATCCATCCTGTTCATATGCGGACGCCAGGTGCTTGGTGATCGCAATCGATCCGGTCGCAGGTGCCATTTCCGGAAGAACGGGATCGGTCCTCAATGGTCGCCGAACAGTGGGCTTCATACTTATATGGCACCAGGTAGTGGCACCAAAGCCCTTTAAATGGCCTCCATTTCCTCCTGACAGTGATCAGCTGCTCAAGGTGGAGCCTTAGTGGAGCTTATACAGAAGTATGCCCTTATTCGTCATTGTTGACTAGAATGTCTTGCCATTCTTTATTCGTAAGATTTTGTATAAGAAGTGCAGATTATGTAATGCATGAAATTTGGAGTGGAGTGGTTACATAAGAATTAACACATAGGTAGGCAAACTTCGCTTTGGTTATAGTGCTTAAGTTTCTTTTAGGTAATTAAGCCTCATGCCTAGTTCTAAACCGGTTTTAGGTATCAAATGTTGGTTCCTATTACTTATGCTTACATATGTTGTACATACCTTAGCCATATGTGAAGTTGCCTCCGATTTCCAAAATAACAAATCGTGCGTGAACATCTTTTTTTAAAGAAAATGCCAGTACAACCGTATGCCGCGAAATGCATCACCAACATTACGTAATTAGCTTGATGAGCCCTTCCGCCGGAAGGAAGACACCTTCCTGGGTCTGCTATGGCTGTTGTAATTATGATGTAACCATCAACACCTTTAGAGGGCGCCCGAAATTCTCACTTTTGATGTTCCGCGACACACCAGCTTTGTTGCATGCGAAGTGATTTGTGTTTCGTGTCGGTAAAGCCAAAAACACTTCACGGTATTGAGGGTGTTTAGGCGAATTGGTGCCATTGGGGCTGGTCAAGAGCTTGCACAGTTACGACCGTTTTGGCCCCCGGAATGGACTCAGCAGAATAGATTGGCAGGCTCTCTACGTCTGCCGATCCCTCTTAGCAGTGACGGTACAGAAAAAAGAACATCTACCTGCTGAGCGAGGCTGCTCTTTGAAAACCATTCTTCACTTGTTTATTTTGGATGCATCTTTAAAAAAGAAAATCGCAGACATACTCTGCTCCTAATGCTCCTATAATTCCCACCGGGCCCAAAAATGGTCAATGACGGAACGAACATCCTTTTCGGTGTTGTATGTATTTAGCACATATATTGTTTTTACCCATTCACACCGACTGCCCAGGACCCACGTCGGTTCACGCCACCGCCCGTCGAGTCATCGTCTGCGACCGCGCCGGCCCGACATACAGACCCAGTACACACCCAGGGGCGTCGGGTGTCACGGGGCTGCGGAAGGGCTCATCGGGTTCCACTGGTAGCAGGGGGAGCGCCCAAAACAGGGCATATTTTAACAAATTTTTACTGCGTCCCAAAGTTGAGCAGAGGGCACGTGCTACAACTAAGGGCACAGGGCAAGGAACAGAGTAGGGCACTGAGGAGGGCAGAAAGTAGGGCACGGCAGGTTACAGGGCATGGCACAGGACATTTTAGAGGGAAGTGTACATGTCACTTGTCAGGGCACGCAGCAGGGCACAGGTCAGGGAACCGGATAGGGCACTGGGCAGGGACGCGGTGGGTCAAATCAGCAGGGGCTACGTCCCAAGGCAAGGGGGCTGTGTCCCAGAATGGGACGCAGTAAGTGCCTTAAAATATGCCCTGGCCCAAAATGGGAGTCCCAGGAGTCACACATCAGCGATGTATACCAATAAGCACCGCCATACTCATGGCTCATGCATATACATATGCTTACCAATTTACTGGGCGGATTCATGACCGACCTATATAAAGCCCCGGCTGTGATGTGTTATCGGAATTCGGAACTGTTGCCACATGCTACAGCGGAAGAGTAACGTTCTCTCGCGTGAGCCCTGCGGCTCCGGCCCTGCAGTGTGCGCGAGTGCGCTCTGGACCAGTCACCATTCTCCACTGGTTTACACCGTGCCATAGGCGCGGGAACCGGGGGGGGGGGGCAGTGGGGGCAGCTTGCCCCCCCCCCCCCAACTCTAGGGCCGTGGGGGCGGTGCCCCCACAACTTTTAGACGAAATACTGCACTTTTTTGCAAATGTTTTTCTTTTTTTGTTGAAAAAGCCAAGGGATGAAAAATAAGTGGCCTAAAACCGGTGAGAAAACTAGATTTGGGGGTAGGTTCCCTAGGTTCATCTCCATTATGGTGTGCCCCCCCAGTCTGAAAGTAGTTCCCGCGCCTATGCACCGTGCTGCACTGATTAGTGATTAGGTGGCCGTTTGTGACATGCAAGATGTCCGAGCGAACCACATCATCCGCACCGCGTAATCGCCTCATTCGCTGACTTTGTATAATAATGCACTTAGCCCTGCAGATAGGTGCAGGTCCAACAGCAAGGTCCGGCTAGGGGCGGCTTCAATCTGTTGTAATCCCTCTACAAGGTGTGCGTTGGCTTCCCAGCATTGGGGGATGCGTATCACGCATCCCAGCCTATTTTATTTCCTATGAAAATGACCCCGTTTCTGTGCGGTTTTATATGCATTTTTACGCTCTCAATAAGAGTTACCGGAACGCTATCCTGTCGTTTAGCAATCGTTGTAACCGTATCTTGCTAATCACAAAGCATTCGACAGCGAATGCATACAGTAGGCGGGAAGACGGATTTCTTACCGGGCTTGGATTATTGCTGACATAATCAAAGCCTTTATGCAATAACGAATGCCTGTTTAATGCAGCATCGAATACCAAATAGTTAATAACGAATATGTTTTCTGTGTCATTTAAGTATTGTTAAATGGAATTAAAAAATTGCACTATAGCAAATATTTCAGTCGCAGGTTTTCACTTTTCCGTGCCCTTTGTATGATAACAAGATGATAACAGGATAAAGGAATACCTCATAACTATTCCATGGCTCCAAAAATGTATTCTCTCAATGGAAGGAAACAACTTTTGAAACATTTTCCCTGTGCTTCATTGTGCGAGAAAAGCCGTACCATCGTTTGGTCTGGCTGCACTTATTACGGGAACGAATAACGGACTCCGGGATGTTTTTAGTGATTGCTACATCTTCAAGGTAAGTGCTGGCGGTTAGGCGCCTGGTTTCAGCGCTGTTTACATGTCACGTTTCGGCCTGCCGGGCAGATCGTGCCGCGCTCCCCCCCCCTCCCTCCCCCGCTCTCCCCCTCCCCGTCCCACTTGCCCCGAACAAATCCTGAGGCGACAACGACAGCCAGCCTCATCACGCCTGGTTATGAACGGGTTCTGACGTTTTGTTCAGATCCGCTTGTGGTTACAGAGTTCTCATAAACTTTGTCGAAATACGAGCATCTGTACCTAAGTGCGCCTACACAACGGCCTACGGTTTTATAGTGAAACTCGGCGCTTACATTCATCTCAAATTTTATGGGTACAACAGTTGCCATGGTTTCTATGTCCCTTTACCCTATAGCTGAGCATGCATGTTGTTGTTGCATGTGTTAGTTGTTTCAGTAAACGAACACGAGAATTGTAGTGCCATAATTAAGAGTCCCCATTGTTTTATTCATGACAGGTTGCAATGGCTTCAATAACATCTGAGGAAAGAAAACTTAACAGCGGAACGAAAAGAGACTTAAATCAAATTAGACGGTGAGCAAAACTCAACTGTAACAATTGATGCAAAATTCCCAGCGGCTGACAATCAACAATAGTAATGGCCTATAATTTAAAGATATATGATATATGCAGCGCTACCAAGCAACCGCAGCGCTTATAGAGTTCCATTCTCCTCAATCAGCGGCCCCATCCCTCCCCCAAAAGCCGTTTGGCCTCATACAGACATGCTCTACATTATATCTGTACGCACACGAATGCATGCATGCAAAACACACGGTAAATTCCCGTCCAGTTAGTTCATCAGCTCACTCACCGTTCACACTAATTGGGACCGTGGGACAGACAGCAGTCTGCTGTCGCTAGGGTAATACAGCATTACATACAGCTGTATACTAACGTTACCCCGATAGTGGGTTCATTATTGGATTAATCTGGCTCGTACTCGTTTGTGTTTACACGGGGCGTGGTGATGTGTATAACATTGTCAACAACTATAGGGCCGCCGGAAATAGTTTTTAACTGGGGTCATAACACAACAATGGGAAACATCTCGAGGACACACAGCGTTGTTTCCTGTCGTACCATGAAACAGAACCGGGTTAGGAAGTGAATAATCACACGGATGCGTCTAAGACATTAAGTGTGTTGAATGCACGTCTGTAAATAGGAAACGGAACTAAAGGTTATCTTGTTATGAAAATGAATGGAAATAATTAACGAGGCATATGCAACACGTATTGGTAATAGATTCGCATAGCTAGGTGTTCACTTCATAGGTATGACTTGGAGCTGATTGCGCTGGGACTGCACTTACCGCTGAGAGTGGACATTAGCGTCAGCGCCAGCACAGCGAGCCACGGGGGCGAGCCGGCCGCCATTCTGTCTGTGTGTGTGTGTGTGTGTGTGAGCTGCGCCGGGTCACTGCCGCTGCACCTTCAGCCGCTGACGAAGGGACCGGTCCCGGCGACTGTCCTGGTTCGGGCACCTGCCGCGCTGCGCCACCGCTCCACAGCGACTGAGCCCAGCGACTGAGGCCACCACCGCCGGCCGCACAGGACTTCACGGCCCGGGTTTTACGCCGTGCTCGCCACGAGGATATACTGGGCGGATGATCCGGCTGTGGGGCGACTGGGACAGCGGTGGGTACCTACACCTACAGTGGTGGTAACTGGGCAGCGCACCGGCGGTCACTGGGTCCATCATATGAGAATGGGAGTGCGACTGTATGTTCACGCCATTCCGTCTTTTCCATCCTCAGGTATCAGGATAGACAAATCCTTCTTATACTCCACGCCTCAACCCCCTGCTCCGGGCTGGACGGGCACCTTCAGGGGCGGATCCAAGGGGGGGGTCACATGGGTCATGGCCCCCCCTTGAGGCCCGGGGGCCCAAAGACCTGCCAGGGGCACCACCGGCCTATCAGGGGTATCACAGTCCTGACAGGGGCACCACAGGACCGCCAGGGGCACCACAGGCCTAGCAGGGACACCACGGGCCTGGTGCCCCTGGGCCCTGACAGGACTGTAACGCCCCTGACAAGCCCGAAGTGTCCCCGGCAGGCACGTGGTGCCCCTGACAGGCCTGAGGCGCCCCTGCAAGGCCGGTGGTGCCCCTGGCAGGCCTGTGGTGTCCATGGCAGGCCTGTGGTGCCCTTGCTAGGCCTCTGGTGCCCCTGACAGGCTTGTAATGCCCCTGGAAGGACTGTGGTGCCCCTGGGCCCTGACAAGCCTGAGGTGCCCCTGACAGGCCAGTGGTGCCCCTGGCAGGCCTCTGGTGCCCCTGACAGGCTTGCGGTGCCCTTGGAAGGACTGTGGTGTCCCTGGGCCCTGACAAGCCTGAGGTGCCCCTGACAGGCCCGTGGTGCCCTTGTTAGGCCTGTGGTGCCCCTGGCAGGCCTCTGGTGCCCTTGCTAGGCCGCTGGTGCCCCTGGCAGACCTCTGGTGCCCTTGCTAGGCCGCTGGTACCCCTACGCCCGGAGAGGACTGGTGCCCCTGAAAAGTCTGAAGTGCCCCTCGGCAGACCCGTGGTGACCCTGACAGGCCCAAGGTGCCCCTGCGAGGCCGGTGGTGCCCCTAGCAGACCTCTGGTGCCCCTGGCAGGTCTGTGGTGCCCCTGGCAGGTCTGTGGCGCCCCTGGCAGACCTGTGTTGACTGGTGCCCCTGCTAGGTCGCTGGTGCCCCTCACAGACCTGTGGTGCCCCTGGGCCTTGATAAGCTTGAGATGCCTGGCTATGACAGGCGGCTCGTGGTGCCCCTGATAGACCAGTGGTGCCCTTGCTAGGCCTGCAGTGCCCCTGGCAGGCCTCTGGTGCCCCTGCTACCCCTGCGCCCGGAGAGGACTATGGTGCCCCTGAAAAGCCTGAAGTGCCTCTCGACAGGCCCGTGGTGCCCCTGTGCCTTGACAGGCCCAAGTTACCCCTGCGAGGTCGGTGGTGCTCCTGGCAGGCCTCTGGTGCCCCTGGCAGGCCTGTGGTGCCCCTGGCAGGCCTCTGGTGCCCCTGGCAGGCCTGTGGTGCCCCCCTGGCAGGCCTGTGGTGCCCCTGGCAGGCCTGTGTTGACTGGTGCCCCTGCTAGGCCGCTGGTGCCCCTCACAGGCCTGCGGTGCCCCTGGAAGGACTGTGGTGCCCCTGCCCCTAGGGGTGCTCATGGGCCCAACAGGCCCGTTGTGCCCCTGACAGGCCTGTCGTGTATACTTGCTAGACCTGCGGTGCCCCTGCTTCCTGGCAGGCCTGTGGTGCCCCTGGCGGGCCTGTGGCGCCCCTACAAGGCCGTAGGTGCCCCTGGCAGGTTTGTGGTGTCCCTGGAAGGACTTTGGTGCCCCTGACAAGCCTGAAGTGTCAAGGACAGACCCTTTAGACGCCAGGGTCAAGTTCGTCGGACTGACAACGATTTGCTTACCTGATAACGTTCCTGGTAAGTACTCATTACTCAGCGTCCACAACATATATACACATAGCACATTCATATATACTTGCTTACAATTGGTAAATGTGGTTGTGGCTAAGAGTTAAGATACTGACTAAAAAAAAAAAAAAAAACTGAAAATGGGGGCACCACCAAAATGAAGTGGACGAAATCCGTTGAGTTTTTAATTTTGGGTATAGGTAGGGGCACCACTTCGATTCATGACCCTCCCCTTGGAGTTTTCCTGGATCCGCCCCTGGGCACCTTTATCCCATGCGGGAAGCTTCCATAGGAGCATGCCCGTAGCCAGGTGCAGTAAGTGTTTTGGGGGCTGGGTGGCCTGTCCATTGGATGGCCTCAGCCCCGACGGCTCACTAGAGTGCCCGCCCAGACCAATGTCTCCCCCTTATTCCTATCATCCTTCCGGCTCTGAAATGGTCTTGTCAGACTGAAGGGGCCTAACCCAACAAAACAAGCGGCATGCTCTGAGGCGTGCTGTATGTGTGTCGTGTGACATGGGACGCGCTATCGATGGCCGACGAAAATGTTCGCCAATTCGTGCATGTTTGAGCAATGAGCATCATCCTTACCAGTCACCAGATATTACATACAGGGTGTCCCATAAGTTCGTTCTCACATTATATTTGCATGTGAAACAGAGTACATTGCGTTTTGATATATTTATGACCCCTCATTGTGCTCCCCAGTTAATAGGCAAACACATGAATACATGCTGCGGCATGCCAACTGGCAGGTTTGGCTGCTTAGCAGGCTTGAAGTTAGCCCAGACTGAATTGACGTGCGCCGTGAGCTCCTCGAGGCTGGAACAGCACTTCGCTTCGACGAGCCTCAAGTTCAGTATAACCAACGAATTTTTATGAAATTTTGATCCGATGAGTTGCCTGGCATGTGATCTTGCCACAAACGCCTGTCACAGTCACCTTGCACTGCTTTTAAGCTTTGCTTGACCTGCATGCACTGATGCACTGTCTTGCCTGAAGCTGGGCCTACGACCTTCCGGATGCCATTTTCTTCTCTATAAATGTGTTCATACTCGCGGTTCGAGCTCAGCTTGAAGGCTGAAACTCCTCCTAGATGTTCTTGGGAAAGCATTCTGCTTCCCAAAACTGTTTCTGGGACACCAATCGCAACCTTGTCAGCGTCTGGACGCCTATAACCTCACAATACCGTGACCCTGGCCTTTTGCATATGAACATAACGGGACGGAACGGAGGCCTCCTCCTTCGCCCTTATGGGGTTGTTTTCGGGTTTGGACGGGTGTTTCATCTCGAACGTGGACTAGTTAGTCCAGATGACCTGATTGACGTCCTCAGCCCTCTAGTTTTTTAGCCTCAGGCATAACGAAACTCATGTTTGGCCATTTTAAGACGTTTTTGACTGTTTTGAGCCCTCCGGTAAGCAAAGCTTAAGTACCGTTGAGTTATGTACCCCGAAAGAATACTCTTAGACAGCTGGTAATCCATCCTGAAAAGTCTGCTTACCAACTTTCTAGCCCTTTGACCTTTTTGATGGCCACTTTGGCGCCACACAGTTTTGGCCACATGGCTCACTCCTGAGGGCTGACTGGAAAGAGAATAAACTTGCAGTGATTGACTCCCGATAAATCATCGGCGTCACTTGCTAACTGTGCGTCCAGTTAGCGATGGACATTGGCTACAGACTGGTAGGCCTCAATCACCCTCAATCGTCGAGAATGGTCACGTGCTGGCTAAATACCGAGACGTACCCGTATCGGAGACCTTAATGTTGCGGCGTTACCCGTCTCTGTAGGAAGCGGGCTCTCTAGCAAAAACTATTTTGTCTACAGAAATTAGTTACTGTGGAGCATATTGCTACCAGCCATGGCAACCACGTAAGCTCAGTTACGAACCAATTTCAGCGTGCCTTTAAGCAAGAGAGCCTATAAACGTAAAATTTAGGTGAGAACGAACTTATGGGACACCCTGTATTTGCACTTTTTGTGCATGTGTGACATATTCCATATACACACGAACATGTGACCAAACGATTACTTCTGACGGTTGAAAATTGCTGCTTGTCTTTTCGCTCTCAACCACACCGTTGCTCATAATTACATAGGTAGGTATATGTTTACCATAGATATGCTAGTGCAAGGCCTATATGTAGTACAAACTTATCGATATTTAGCAACAAAGCCCGAGTACACAGAACACGGGACACCTTAAACTTCAGATTCAATTATGGCAAAATCTAGACTGAGAATAAGAAATATCACACTATTCGGCCCGCAGGCCGCATACCTATACAAAGCACCTGGTGAGAGAGGACCGCTGACGACCACACTAGACTCAGTAGAACTAATGGTCTTTTCACGTCAGTTCCGTGCAAAATACATTAACGCTTGGCGTTAGAGGTGCAACCGGCCCCCCCCCCCCCCCGATTCCTGGAGGTGCCCGGCATATGAGGGAGCCGGCCACAGAGGGTGCGGGCGCCAATAGGAGGCTAGATAAGCGCCAGCGGTCGGGTAAGCAAATACGGCCCGCCCGGCCTGGCGAGGACACTGCGCCGGCCGCCGGGCGCCTCCAGTGCGTGAGTGGCACGTCAGACGGCGGCCGCTCATGTTTTTCGTGCGTGCGCGCTCAAGCCGCTGCGATCATCTCCCGGAGATGGGACGCTCCACACGCGAAAGGGCATCCGGTAAGTCACGCCTTTGCTTGCTGGCGTCTCCCCATTGTGTCCAGGCTGTCACAAGCGATCCCACTACCAGCAATCCTAGGCCCGCGGGCGCTCCGTGCCGGCGTACCTACCGCCCCCTCGTATTGTTGTGTTGAACATTTCAGAGTGGTCCACGTTCCACTTGTGTGTCGATTACTGCCGTGGCGATCACGTGGCGATTACTGCTCCTTTGCTTGTCTTACCGCCGACACGTCCCGCGCCGTCACGCCGCAGCTGACATCCCATGCTTATGTCATGAGAGTTTCTCGGACGGCCAGTCCGCCCTGCCCTACTATAACGCCCATCTCACCCGTCGCCGGTGAGATTTCCCGTCGGCTATTAGGCCGTCACGCCGCCGCTAGCATGGCTTCCATCGTCAGTCGCCTGGACTGTGCCGTCTTATACGCTGTCACGCCGCTGCTGACAATCA